CATCCATCAGAAGATTTTCATAATCAGATTATTTTTCATCAACCCCTGAACCGTCGACCACTAAATCACCAAAAATGGCTGAAAGGCATACCCAAGCTAAATCAGCTGCTGTTCTTGAACAATTTGGAGTACATGAAAAAGCTTGGTCTCTTTATGAAGACGACAAACTACATTTTCTATTTTTGCAGTCAAAAATACTTAAACTATAAGTAGTTAATAGCTATTACATTTGCAACACATTCAAAAATTTTGCTTCACCCAGATTTTTCATTTTTATTTCTTGTAAATACACATTGAGTGTTGAATGTATGGACTGGAAAATACAATAAATTTATAGAATAAAGTATTCTGCTTGTGGATTTCAAGACTGATCAAAATAGCACAAAAAAGAAATGTAATTTTGGATATTTATTTATGAGGATGTACAGGTGTTGTCCAAGTGTGCCATTTGGAGTCTCCATTTGGGGGTTTAGCGTACAGTCAGACCTCCTCCCCTATGGAGTGAAAATAGTCTCAAAATATCTGTGCGTCCTTTAAATCCATCTGGAAAAATGTCCAGTAAGCAAAGTTTACTGTCCACTGGAACATCCTGTTCAATCAAACGAGAGATGAACATGATGACCTCCTTCCAGAAGGTTTGAAGCTCCATGCATTGGAAAAGAATATCCTTATCGATATTACATTTAACACAAACATCAGGAATACCTCAGTTGAAATGGTGAAGTTTTACAGAAATGATATACGTTCTAAATATCCATTTGTATTGTAGTAATCCAAGCCTTGTGTTAGTAGTTTGTGTCTGACCCAGGATGAATTATTTCATACTGGGATTTCTGTTTGCAGATCATTTTCATGCTTGTAAATATGAGAGACTATTTTCATGTTTTTGGACTGTGGGAGGAAACCGAAGAACCCGGAGAAAACCCACCATGCACAGGGAGAACATGGAGACTCCATGCAGAAAGACCGGGGCTGGGAATCGAACCCAGAACCTTCTTGCTGCAAGGTAACAGCTCTACCAACTGCGACACTGTGCAGCCGCTACTGGCTCAGTGGATAGTAACTGAATCCATTTAAAATATTTGTTTCCTAGGCCAAACCTATCAAAGAGGTAACTCCATTCGATCCTGTCAGAAGCTTTTTCAGCATCTAATGTCAGCAAGGCGCGATCCACAGAAAACTGTTTCACATATAATATGTTAAGTAATCTG